ATTGGCAGACAGAGCACTACACACCCCAAAGTGCCTGAGCTGTATTACCTGGCAGGCCTTGCTGATCCAAAAACAAAGAGTGCTCACACCTTTCTCTGCCCTCACTGGCCTTCCTATGGGTTGTCTGCGATAGCATGCGGCTCCACGTATTGGATGTTTCTCTCCTTTTCTCACCAGCTACAGATACAGTTCTTAGTTGAAATAGTCCCGAGACACTTGGATCCATTGTTAAAAACTTGAGTGCTATTCAAGATATTGAACAAACTATAAGGCATCCCTACGAGTCCTTAAAAGGAAGACTGCGGCCAGACATGAACAAAAGCAGACTGTGCTGGCCTATGCCGCTAATGTGAAGCCTGTTTAATAACCCAGTTCACTAAGGGCCTCTCCCTTAATGAAGAATGGCTTTCATTACTGTGACCTTTAACCTTATGCTTTTCATGTAGAAGCAACATATTTCAAGATAAATGGCTCGCTTTTTCATTCTTGGGAATTTTTTCTCTAAGTTTTAAAATGTATATGTAAGAAATATGTAATTTCCGTGAGTCTCTTGAGGTCATTGACTGGCTTCTATTAATTTCTGCGGCGTCAGCATGACTACGCTGCCGAACACAGTGCAGGTGTTACCAATAATTGAGGGGAAAAACTGTCGTTCTCTTTGGTGACTCCAGAATAGATGCTAATTTCAAAATTATGTTCTGAGTATAGCCACCACACACCCCTGCTTTTATTTTTTCCTATCTGAAAATGTCAGAGATGCTTACAGTTATAAGTAATTAGCTACAATTATCAGATCCTCTGTCTGTTTCCGGAAATACAGCCTTAGCAATTCATATGCTCACAATCAGCTGTTTCCTGAAAGCTTTACCAGACCTCCCAGGTGATTCGATTCATAAAAAGGGTAAGGATTCACACACAGGATAAGTAAAGGGCAAGCTAACTAAAAGAAGACATCGGAGTGTTTGTTTGAGTATGTTGCTGTGCGAATGCTGGGAAACTCTCAACTGTGGGGGACGGCCCTCGAAGGTCAGAGTTTACTCTGCAGAAGTTCTGTAAATACTTGAGTGCTGTAGGGCTAGGTTATCACAATGAATGCATTCTATTTATTCACTCATTATTTCATGTGTCTGTTCAGGTGCTCTTTACATAAGTTTCCTTGACTTAGCCTAATACTGGGTGTGTGCTGGACATCAGTCTAGCAACTTGGCCTGTTAAATCTTTAAAATCTCTATTATATAACAAAAAAAAGTGTTGTACTTACTGTCATTTCTCATTCCTGTACATTTAGAGAAAAATCACCTTGGGAACATTAGTGTGCTACTGCTATGATAGAATTCTTTAAGGATGACTATACAAGGAAGCTTTAAAATATTTGGTTGGAATTTTCTGTTCTTTTTCAATTCCATTTTCACATGAACATTTTGAAGTTGGTTGAGAAGCATGTATTTTAAGGAGAAAATATTAGTGGTCCCTTGTAAAACTGAAGGCATAGTATTTCTTCTTTTCTTGAGTTAGTTGCTCTTTTTCCACATGAGAACCATCATCACGTAGTGGTTTCGAACTAGGGTTCCACTGCTGGATTTCAGGCTCAGCTTTGCCTCCTTAAGTCGCCAATCCCTTAATACAGAAAAGGGTTTTATAGTACCCACCTCAAGGAATCGCTGTAGGAAAACATGGCTGCACGTATGTAGGGTCCCACAATGAGGTGCTGGTGCCTCCTTTGTCAAATTCTCACCTTTGAAGGGGCAGTGCATCTCCTGCGTGGCCACCACTTGTTTGTCCCTGCAGGCCTGCGTCCTCCGCTGATACTGAGCAGGTGTAAGAGGAAGACAAATGAAGTCAAAAGACCTGACAGTCAACTCCTGACATTCAATCAATGATAGCAGTAGGGATCACAATGGCTCAATCTACACAGAGAGAGCCTGGAATTTAGCAGTGGTTCATTCCACGGTGCACAGTCTCCCTTTTTCAGGGACAGACTGAAAACAACCAAAGCCCCTATCTGAGTCCTTGGGGTTAAGATAAGTGTGACAACATCACGTGGTTAGAAAACTGTACTAATAATGATAATAATAATAAATCTCTTCTTGCAAAATTGCTTAGGCTAGCTCATTTTGAGTTCACTTCTTACTAGCTTTTCAATTCTGTGAACAGTTACTTAACTCGTTGTACCAAGGTTTACTGTGTATGGAATGAAAATACTCAATAAGATGAATGACCTCTTGGGTTTGAATGAATTGACACACATAAAATTGGCACACAGAGCTCGGCCTATCACGATACTCCAAAAATTATCTTAGGTATGGCTGTTCATTTATTATTTCATTATCACTCTAAAAGGAAGCAGTGTTTGCCATCTTACCAAAGGGTGACTATGGTCCATGGAAGACCAGCATGGTGCAAATTGTGTTTAATTATCCAGTAATTCAAAAAATGAATTATACTGTTTCAAAACTATAAGAATTGAATACAATTAATGAGGATGTACTTTCTTATTTATAACTATGCTGGGCCTTGGTAACAAGTGTCAGAGCACTTAGCTTCCCTCCTCCACCCCCTACCCCACCCTAAATGTAGGCAGGTAAATTAATATGGGAAAGAATGCATTTGTAAAAGCTATGGAAATTGAGCACAAACATTTTTCCCCATAACATCATAAGCTATGTTATAATGTTGCCTCTCATTATTGTGTAGGTTCCTTGTTTTTAACCAATGGAAACAAACGTAGATTTATTAAGGAAGATGATTATGGCAGATTTTCATGTCATTGCCAGATCTATATCCTTTGAAAATGTAAAATCTTAGCATCCTTTCTTTGACAAGTTGAATAGTGATCTTCAAAGTGCAATATCTTGAATACAATACTGTAATTTCATGCCCATCTGTAGACAATTGGACGTCCCTCACAGAAGGGCTGGGGAAGAGATGAGCCAGTCAGGGTGCACTATAGCACCGATGAAACACACAAATATCCTCTAGTTCTTTGGTGCTTCCTTCCCCCACTATCATACCTCAATTGTACCATACAGATCGGATTAGACCAGAGCATGCACACTGCTACACATAAGAGCCCACAGCACAGGGAATCCAGTATAGATAAACCCCTCGGGGCCAACAAGGAGAGTAGAGATACCAGGAGGAGGGGAGGGTGGAGAGAGAGAGGGGGAATCAATCACAAGGATCAACCTAGAACCTCCTCCTAGGGGGATGAATAATGGAAAAGTGGGTGAGGTGCAACGAGGATGATGTAAGATATGGAAAAAATAATCTATAATTTATCAAGGGTTTCTGAGGGATGGTGGGTGCAGGAGGGAGGGGGAAGAAATGGGTAGTGTATCAGGGGCTCAAGTGAGAAGAGAATGCTTTGAAAATGCTGATGGTGGCATATGTGCAAATGTGCTTGACACAATGGATGAATATATGGATTGTGATAAGAGATGTAAGATAAAATGTAAAATAAGATGTAAGATTATGATGAGATGTAAGAGATGTAAAAGTATTTTAAAAACAAACAAACAATGCTGGAATCTCTATTTAAACAAAATTCATTTACACATGCATATGCCATCTCTGACCTCCTTTGGCTTCTCTATTGCCAGTAGGCAGAGATCAGACATGCCTCCCCCCTCCATTCTTCTTGACCCCCTCTAACACCAACCATTCCTCCCATGGCCTTGTTTCTATGCTAGGCTCCATAAGCCATTGCAGTGGTCACACAATTCACAGACCATATTCACAAGGGCCACTAGGAGTTAGAATTGACTTGATGGCAGTGAGGTCTCCCCACTCCCCTGCCCCTCCCCCATCATAATAAGGCTACAGCCATTGGTCCAGAGCACACCTTTCCTGAGCCATTAACCAAATGTCTCTCTAGTCCCCAGCCTCACAGCCATGTGGGCTCTTGGCCTCTGCCTCTGTGGACCAGGAAACTCAGTAGCTCTGCCTTACAGTACTGTAGTCTCAGCACTGCTCCTTTATTATGTATCCTGATTTCCTGACCTCAGTCTCTGGACTTGACCTGGCATCTTTGCTCTGTCCCAGAGTTTCTGAGCCACAATGTCTGATGTTTCTGGTCTCCGGCTCAGTCACTTCATACAGAGAGCATGAACTTGTTTGTCTTTACATAACCTTGGGGTTTCTCTCGTTACTCCAGCTTCAGATATGACTCTTAAGATTTTGAATGTGAAATGATTTTTCAGTGTGTTTTTTGTCTTTCAGTAGACTGTACACACAAGTAAAGAACTTACCATGGCAGAAAACTCCTTCCCAAATGAGATTGCAAGGACAGAAAGATACATATGCATAAAGGATTATGGCTGAAGGGCTCGTGGCTAGCATAGCCTTATTAATTAATTTGCTACATCTCAGTTTGCATCTATGAATATCTGAAAAAGTTTATCATTATTTCATAAGCATTCTAATTACATACTAGAGCAATAGATCTCCCATTTATTTAAATATTTTTAGATACAATACTATACATCTCTTTCATCATCATTAAAATAGTCATTGATTCTATAATTTGAAAATATGACAAAGATTGGTTTGCATTAGATTTGATTAATCTTTCTTCTTAATTTTAAAGCCTAATTTTATACTTTTAATTTCATATTTTCATACAATTTCATCATACTTTTAATTTTATACAGTATAGTTTCAGAAAGCCCTACAGTGAACTTTGTCTTTCAGTGATTTTTGTTGACTCAACATTTTTTAAAATAGGAAAGTAAGTGTAACACACTGTATCAGGTATAAATAAAGTGCAAATTAGGGAGAATCATATTCTAAACCTGTGGTTATCATTGAATCGTATCACTCAATAGACCATTGACCCATTTCATAATGTCTACAAAAGGTTTCAAATTTTTCAAAGACTAATGTGTGAAAAATACGTACAGCTGGGAAATTTCCCCTCCTTCACTCCTGTCAGTGAGCAGCAGCTTGGAAATACTGCTCTGAACAGGCTTTGTTGTAATTTTCATTCTTTTATTTCTTGCTAGGAACCTTTCCCTGAAATTAACAAAAGATGTTGATCAGGAAACTAGATGTTCCCACATCAGCCGCCTGCCCGGCAGTCCGTCTTCAGATTGGCCCCTGCCAAGTGTGGAAGACAGTGGAGGCATGGATTCTCTGCCTTTCAGACTGATGTTGCAGGACTGTACTGCAGTAAAGACATTGTTATTGAAGATGAAGAGAGTTCTGCAAGAGGTAATGGCTTACTTTAAGATTAATGGCTTCCATTGCTGTTAGACAGTGACGTCTGTCGATCTGGATACACGCAGCTAAGTCAGTAATGAACTGCACAGCACTGAAAGAGGGGTCAGGTATGTTCTAAGCACTTGACTATTCTCATCTGTCAAAGGGAAGAATGGGAGTTTTGGTTCATAAGGTACACTTCGGCTTCAACATACTCTGCTCCTATGAAAAATGTAAAAAAAATAATAAATTAAAGCAATCCTGGACTTAGTAGGTGAGGAAAAATGGGTATCAATGACTAAGTTATGTTTATAAGTTATTATAAAGGTTTTGAGAGAGACCTCATATGGATGTGACTGATGATATTTGGAATTTAGTTATATGACATATGAAAAAGTAATTTATTTAGGGGTTTTTACTCTTAATATTATTCAATAGAGTAAAAGTCAATGTTTGATTTTTCCAAGTTAGTGAGATAGCAAATTAGTTGGAAAAACACACAATGAGATCCTTTCACCATTTTTTTCCTCCAGGAATGATCAATTCTTTATAATTTAAGTATGTTCTTGTTTGATTAATTATTATTATATTTTGAGGAGGGTTATATTCAAACTATATTCATGAATGTTACTTCAATGATATGCTGTGAAGATCAAATGTTTTAGATGGCTTTCCTATAGTGAGTGATAAACTCAACAGACTAGCCTGAGTCTGTCTCTGAATTCTTTGCTCCTTAAGGTTTTATAATACCTTAATATTTCATTATATTTCTTTTTTAATGACAGATATTAATCAATAATATAATAACTGAAAAATATTACCAGTTTGAATGAGTTGTATCAGGGTTACCTTGAACTGATGACTACTGATATTTATTTTCCTAACTTTCCATTATAATAAAAATCCTAGTAGCTACAATCAGAGGTAAAAAATAAAGCCAAGAAGGGAGAAGGGAAGGAAAGAGACAGGGGAGCCACAGGCATGATGGGCATCCTAGCGTGTGTTCTTTTCATCTGTTTAGAATACAATCTGGAAGTGATTTTTTTCAGTCTACATGAGGTATGAGTATCTCTTGTTATTAGGGGAGTGGTCTTTGCCTCTAGTATCTATGCAGTGGTTTGATGGAGTGATGTGCTGATTGATACCTGTTCACTGAGCACTTTTCTGATCCAGATGTTACACATGGTCATAGAAAAGTAAATCATCTAAACTTTTAATTAATTTTTTTTTAATTTTAGTAAAAAGAAAACATCATTTTAGGCATAATTGACAAAGTTGCAAAAGATTTTCTTAGGCTAATGTTTTTCATTTAAAAATATTTGATGACTTTCAATTCAATGTTAAGAATATATTGATATGTTTTTATACTCTTGTGTTAGAAATTAAAGATAATTTGAAGAAACTGAAGAAAATTGATTCTAAAAAGAAATTCACAGTGAGCAGTAATTGCACATTTGTACAACTTAATCAGAGAACCTGGGGTATTAGATTTTATTACAATAAACAACCACAGTATTATTTTATGATTAAGAATCCCTAGTGGTGCAGTGGGTGACGCCTAGTAAATATCCTAACTGAATATTCATAAAATAAATATGACAATTTATGATACAAAATGTTGGCAATATCATCGATTCTTTCAAGTTGTTATTCTCCGAATTCTCTCCATCCACTTGATTCTGATTCACAGTGACCCTGTGTGCCCGAACAGGACTGGCCTTGTGACTGTAGCTCTACAGGAGGAGAAAGCTGCATCATTCTCCAGTGGAGCAGCTGGTAGTTTTGAACCACTGACCTTTCGGTTCATAGCCCAATGTGTAACCCACTTAGCCAACAGAGTTCCTAAATTGTTATTCATGCTTAATGCTCTCCCCATTTTTAGAATACCATACATAAAGGACAAAGATAGAGCAATGTTTTCACACTTACCAAGACACTCATTTGCCTCCTTTGGTTGGTGTGATATCGTGCTGGACTTGCTGAGGATTCCCAGATTTCTAACTAAGGGCCTGATGGCTGCACATGGCCTGCTTCTGTATGAGGCTACACAACTTGATCAGGAGAGGAAATTAAAACTCAGTGTTCTCTTGCTATGTAAGCAACTGGAAGTTGGAGTCATTCTGGAATTTGGAATAGTGAGAGAAACTACAGAACTATTCTTCCCCACCTCCAGCCCTCATTGACATTTGCCAGTACAGAGCTTTCACAGGAGGACATTACAGTGGCTCAGCTCACAGTTGAGCCGCTAGTCACAAGGTCGGCAGTTGGAAACCACCAGCCTCTCTTTGGGAAAAAGCGGAGGCTTTCTCCTCCTGAAACAAGTTAAGGTCTAAGGTCACAATTGCTTTGGAATCATAAAAATCTAGGTGTCAGCATCATTTCTGACACTTAATAGCATCTGAAAGTTTATTAAGACTTTTGAGTCTTTGTTTCCTTGTGTGTAATATTAATGCCTAAACCATAGTCCTTAAAGCAATCAAATAAAATGTATTTATAACAAGTTATCACAGTAGCTATATGGGTAACATCTATAGTCATGGGATACTACAATGATATGATCATAACTGACTATGTCAAGTTTATTAAACACTTGGAAATGCACTAGAAAATGTTCTTTATGGTTTACGGAATTAGTTTTTATGGATTACGGAATAAGTAAAGTCCATAATTCATAAAAAACAATTATCCCATAATAAAAGCTATACAAGATGAAATGAAAAGTGGACTTATTTTTGCCATTTATACTTTCTTGAGTTTATTTCCTTATAGAATAAGCTCATTTGATATGACCTTTCTTGGCAAAAGAGCTACTGTAGGCCAATGGAATTTCTTGACTCTGGACAATATATAGAACCCCAGGTGGCGACAATAGTGTGGGTTGGAGTGCAACCTGCATGTTTGGCAGTTCTAAACCACTAGCAGCTCCACAGGAGAAAGACTGGGCTTTCTACTCCTATAAACAGTTACAGACTCAGAGGGCAATTAGTTTGTTTTTGAGTCAATATGTAAGAAATATTGAAAAGAAAGAAAGAAAAAAGCCAGTAGTAAGAAGCCCAAGTCTGTAAATAAGAAAACTGCCCACTACTCCCATACACCAAAACCATTGTTTTCTCCATATTGCTATACCTGTGAAAGCTGCAGAAATATTCTTGCTTTTTCTTTATTGTGATTGTAAAATTCTTTCCTGTTGTATCTATGCAAATTATCTGTTAGTCATATTATTGTATTTATTTATTTTCCCAAACTTTGTATTGGGAGGTAATACAGACATCATATCATTCCATAATCCAATCCCATCAAGCAGTATTGAACAATTACTTAACACAATCAGCTTCAAAACATTCACTTTCTTTTTGAACTCCTTGATATCATCTCTGCTCCCTGCCCCCCCACCTTTCCCTACTGGATTCATATGATTTTAATTGCTTATAAGAATTAATAACAAACAAACCTGGAACCTCAAAGTGCTAAGAGTAAATGCCATCATTGTTGTACCTGATTGTTGTGGTGGTCTGCTATTTGTGTTATGGTAATATTCCACAATTAATTAAATAATCACTAATATGCTTTTGCTATGCATGTATAACTTTCAATTTCCATCCTGAAACCAGCATTAATGTCTTCGTTGTAATACAACTCACACACTTTTATGCAATTAGATGGGTGAATACTGGCATCAAGAATTTCAGGCTGCCCAGTAATGGATGTGCAGCAAGTGGCATGCTATCGGGTCTCCTGGGGATACTCACACAGGTCTGCACATCAGGTGTGGGAGAAAGGGAGCCGGTGAAGAGCCACTTAAGCAAATAGCCCTGTGTATAGCCTGCCATTGAGTTCCTCTGAGATACATTTTTACTGAAACCACCTATGTATAAACTAAGTATATGATGGATAGTGTTATGAAGTCAGGAAAGAATTTGACTGCTAAGAAACAATATTATGCACTTTAAAATATTTCCATCTTTTCATAAGCAAGGCCTTTTGCATCGAATGACCCATTTATATCAAAGACTAGTTATTGGCATAAAGTTGTTGTAAATCGCTGTTGAGTCATCACTCTATGGTGACCTCTGTGCAGGGCAGAGCTGTCCCATAGCATTTTCAAGGTGTACCTGTCAGATACCTGTCTTCTCATGAGTCTCTGGGTAGATTCCAACCACCAGCCTTGCTCCTGGTAATTAGCTCTTAGCTATTTGTGCCACACAAAGACTGCCTAGTAATACAGTAGAAATCAATAATTTACATTTGTGATAAGGAGCTATGTGAAAAAATAAATGCATCCATTTGTGATCTGATGGAAAGTGAGAATTGTCAAGAGTTATCAGGAAACATCTTTTGGTCCTTAAAACATACATTGTTTTCTATCTGTTATCCACTTAAAAACTAAACCACTCAATTCCCCTGAATTGATTCTGACTCATAGTGACAAAGTTCATTCCTAGGATTTTCTGATAATATAATTTGAAATTAATTGGGCAGAAAGGCATATTGTCATTTCTGAGAAGCTAATTTTGTATTACAGAAGAGAAACTCCTTAGAATTTTCTTTACTGTAACCATTTACAGAGGTAAATCACCAGACCTTTCTTCTGAGGGTCCTTCTTGTATACTTTATGAGTCTGCCAACTTTTTTTCTGCAAAGGACCAGATAATCATTATTTTCAGATTTGTAAGCCATACAGTCATTATCAAAAACTCAACTACGTTTTAAGTGAGAAAGCAGCTATAATTAAAGACAAATAGACAAAGACAAGTTACAAATTATTTACAAAATTGGACTGCAGGCAAGATTTGGAATTTGTCGTAGTATATTCATACTACTTAGATGAAAGCAGAGAATACCAGAAAAATGTACCTTTTTAAATTGACTGCACAAAGGTGTTTGGTGGTGTGGATCATAATAAATTATAGATAGCATTGAGAAGAATGGTAATTCCTGAGGGCTTAATAGTGCTCGTGCAGAACATGTGCATAAAACAAGAATCCAGTGTTCAACTTAAACAAGTGGAGTAC